GAGGGGCTCAGAGGGCTGTATCCTTCTCAAGGGTTCAGCCCCATCCCCATGTGCTGCACTCCCATCCTTCACAACCCTGGAGCCCTTGTTTGCATGCTCAGCCTCTGCTGGGCTGTCTCCAGCCATGGGCACCCCCAGCACATGCCTGTCCCTCCCTTCCTCACAGAGGTATGACAAAAATCATAAGGGATGACAATGTACAGTAATCTTCCTCCCCAAGTTAGCTTTGCAGCAGGACAGAGCTCGTCCTGACAGCTTTGCCACCAATAATTCTTCCAGAGAAATAAACCTGCCTCAGTCCCTCCCCTCACCCTTTGCGTGATTGTTGTGGGACAGAGCAGGCAAGGGGAGACCATCACTCAGACCTCCAAAGGCAGGCTCCCATCCCTCTTACACTCTCCTGACAGGTGAACATTGACCACTTCACCAAGGCTGTGACCATGAAGAACCTGGTGGAGCCATCACCAACCAGCTTTGACATGGCCCAGAAGAGGATCTTCGCCCTGATGGAAAAAGACTCCCTGCCCAGATTTGTGCGGTCGGAGTTTTATCATGAGTTAATCAAGTAGCAATGCAGCAGGACTGTGCAAGGTGTCCCTGCTGCTTCTGTCTAAACATCTGCCCCTTCTCCTGCAGCCGCTTTGCTTTCTCTATACCACCTAGAGCACCCAGAGGTGTTGCTAAGCACCTCCCCCCATGCTTTGGACTGTCAGATGTCCTGGTGTTTCCTCTCTTATCATCTCTTTCCTTTCCCACAAAAGACCAATTTGCAGAAACTCCCTGGAGTTGGGATCCAGAAGGTTGAGGGAGCAACCCCAGCTCTGCAGTGACCAGGAGCCACGTGGCCAGCTGACACATCCCTGGTGCTGCAGAGCTTGGCATTATGTGGAGACTCTGAGATGCTGACTTTGCCTTCTTAGGACTCCTTAGAATATGAGAATGTTTCTCACAATGTTGCCCATATTGCTCGCTTGGCCCAGGCTCGCTCCCTCCTCCCAACTTCCCAGGGTGCTGATGAGACTGTACAAGCACTCTGCAGGTGCTCCCCTCCCTGGCCAAGGTGATGTGAGATACATCCAGTGCCCGATTTGCATCACCTTCCCTCAAAAAGTAGCTGATCAGCAGGCACAGTGACAGCCGTCCAGGGTAGGGGGCACGGCAGGGACAGCAGTGACACTGACTCGTACAGCGAGGATGGCACTGTGACAAGGATGGCAGGGACCGCTGTACAGCAGAAGTAGGTGCCGCAGGATGTGCCTGCTTGGCACCAGGGATGAGCAGAGCGAGCCTGTGGCACCGCTTCCCCAGCAGCTCCACTCGGAGTCGGCCTCTTTGCTTTACTCTAAATACAAAAACAAGAGGATAAAATGAGACCTGCTGGTCCAAAACACTGGGACTGCTTAGCAACTCAGAACTCGTGCTCACTCCAGCCTTTGCACGATGCCTTGAGGTGCCAGGGCACATCCTGTGCCACATCCCAGTGCACAGCCCTTGTGATGCGCTGGGATGCAGCTCCAGGGGTTGCCAGAGGCCTCTCTTGTTTCAGTTGCTTCTCTCTGCAGTAGGCATGCCAAAGCAATGCTTCTGCACAAACTCAGCGTCTAGCACAGGAGGAAGGGAAGACATGCTGGCAGAAAAGCTGTTCAGATCCAATTTGAAAAATCCAAACCAAACAGAAATGCATCATTGGAAACATGAAAAATAACCCCCTGGCTTCTAGAACAGAAGTGCTCTAGAACTTCTTCTCAGAGTGTAGACCCTGGTGAGTTTGTGTAGCCTGCATCTCTCTCTCTCCTGTCTCCTCCTGTCTGCCCAGGCTATGTGTTTCCATAGGCTGTCTCTAAAAAGGACTAGCTGCTTTCTAATGATTCAAAGCCAGCCCTCTGCTAACAGAATAAGTCACACCTGAGCATGGGGCAAGGGCATACATGAAAAGCAGCCCACAGGGTCTCATTTCAGTCTTGAGGGAAATGTGATAAACCCCTGCTCCACAGGGCCTGGATGGTTCATCCCTGTGTTGGTTTCCTGGTGCATCATCCATAGGGTCATGGCTTGCAAAGAGCTGCTTCAGCCAGCAACCTGAGAGGTGACACCAAAACATCCATGGCCCTGCTGCCCACAGGCATCCCACACTGGTCTGCCTCACTGCAAGTCATGGGACTATGCAAAATGCAGTAACATAAACAATGGATTTGCCAGCCTCTTCAAGACATTCAAAATCTGATCAAAACCCCACCAGCCCCAAATATTTACACATTGTCACTATGGCAATGAAGACAAATACATCCCAAGCTGCAGGAAGTGGGCTGTGTTTTCCAGGCAGGAGTGAGGAGGCAGGGGAAGGATGGAGGCAGTCACAAAAGTGACTCTTTTTTTAAGATCTGGAGCAAAAGGCCTGGGAAAGTTGGTGCTGGAGCAGCAGGGGTGATGCTTACAGGCATTCCTCTGGGGTGAATGCAGAGGGTGGCTTGGGTGACCCTAAAGAGCCCAAGGGAGCCCATGAGCAGCAGGAGGAACGCATCAAAAGGACACCAGGACCCCCCAGCAGTGTCCATCATTCAGGTGGGCAACAAGGGGGAGGCAGAAGTGGGGCTAGGTGCAGGATGGGGGGCTTATCCAGCCCCTCTGCTGCAGGGTGCCCCCTCCACCTCTGCCTGCACATGTTCCCTGCACCCTCCCAACGTCTCTATGGACTCGTATCAATACAAGTGGGTTCAGCATGTTCAAGCTCCACCTTTACAGAGTGACTCAGAAATGCAAAACCAAACAGGCTTCCCTGCAGGAAGACCTGAATCTTTCATTTCTGCTTAATCCTTTGGCAGCTATTTCCAGATCCCCTCGCATGTTTCACAGTTAAATGCCACCACCACCAATGCCTTAAGGTCAGGATGCTGCTGGAGGCTCTTGCTACGCACCATCAAACCCTGGGACGTCACTGCTGCAGCAGCGACACATGGGGCAGGGAGAAGGTGTCTGGGTATGTATGTGCTGAAAAGAAAGGTGCAGGCTGGATTCAGGAGAAATGTGACAGCTCTGTTGGCAACCCCTCCCTGGCTCAATTTCTGTTAAAATCCTGGAAGCCTACTCTGGGGGCTGCCCATGATCTACTGGGTGGCCAGAAAATGTGGCCACTGAAGCATTTTGGAGGTCTAGGGAAGTTGTGTTTGTGTAGAAGGGCCATTTGGCTCATTACTTGAGCAGGCTTTCCCAGAAAGGTGGCAACACCTGTATCAACCCCGTGGCCCAGCTTTCCACCAGCCCAGAGGTATTTACTATTGGGCTGATGCCAACCATCATATTTCAGGTAGGAGATACTTCATGTATTTTATCACTCTAGCTCTTGTGAAATTTGGCATATATAGTAGTATATAAACACAACATGTACATCTGTATTCCTGTACTCATATATACACGTACACACACATATATACTTGTAACATGGGCATCTTAACCCCTTGAGAGTCAGAGAACCAAAAAGCAGAGTTTCTGGATGTGGTGCTCGGGGTCCATCACAGACAGGAGTGTGTGTGGGTTTTGCATTGTCCCAGACCCTCTTGAGGGGAAACTTCTCCCTCCAGCTGAGCAAACACAAAGGTGCATCCTTCAGGATCACCCTGTGCCCATGGCCTCTGTGTGCCATCCTGGCACCTGGGCTGGTGCAGGAGGCAGGTCTTTTGCCCCCTGAGGAACCCCTAACTCTGCCATAGGGCAAGGCAACCCCATGCTGCAGCCAGGGGCATGGGGCACCAGGCACTGCCTCCATGCCACCCTGGCACCCACTCCCTGCCACGGGCACGTGGAAAATGGCTCTCTGCAGCTGCATACCCCAGAGGAACACCAGAGGATGGTTTGATATGTGTTTTATGGTGACTTCATATGGTTTATGGTGACCTGGAGCCTCGCACCTCATCAATCAAAGGGTGAACCACCCAGCTCTTGCCCTGCGTGCTGAGGCCAGGTACCACCAGGGCTGCCCAATCCCAGACTTGGGCACTGCCAAAGCCCAGTGGCTGAGAGTGTTCCAGAGCTCATCCAGGCTCCCCTCAGGCCTTGGTCACTCCCTGGAGGGTGCACGTTGTGGCCAAGGGCTGGAGCAAAGGCAGATAGGTACATCAGCTCCTCACACCCGTGAGCTGCAGGTTTTTAGTCTGGAGTTGTCCATGGGATTTCCACTGGAGATACTCATGTGGGGAAGATGTGAGGTGCTGGTGTGCAGTGAAGAGCTGTGTTAACCCGTATTCATGTACCACTCAGTAATCCACACATAAACACGTATTTCTGCTACTGTCTCAACAGACTGTTCATTTTGTCTCTTTGTACTGAAGGTGCAGCACTTTCTTACCCGCTACAGAGCACTCCCAAAACTTGTGCCCAGAAGCCTCTGGGAGATTCTGCTGCAATGATGCAGTGGTTTCTCAGTGAACTGGAAAGCTAATCAGCCCAGGGAGCAGACCCAGAACAGCCCAAGGCTGGTGCAGCACAGGCACCCCTAGTCTCATGCTGCTTTCAGGCTTTGGCTCCCAGGGTCAGCTCAGGCTCCAGTACCAGCATCTGGGGTGCCCCAGGGGCTGGGGCTGAACAAGGGCCAGCCTTGCTCTCTGCACCCACAGGGCATGGCCCAGGGACAGGGTCAGCTTTGAGATAAAATGTGTTCTGTCTGCTCAGGGTTGCAAAGCATCTGCATCAGGGAAGGGCTCCTTGACGTTCCCCACTCCAAAGCTGTCAAGGGGGGCCTCACACTCACCCCAGACCCTTGGTGAGGATGGCTAATCCCCATGCTGAGCTGACGGTCAGGCAAGGCATAGATCCATACAACCACCGTATCCTCCAGGCTCCTGGTGCTGAAGATGTCTGAAGGATATAATTGCTGTTGCTTCATCTGCTGTTGCATCTTTCTGTGACTTAAAAAAATCTCTGAGTGAAGCCACTTATAACTTTTTAGAGCAACCTTGTCCAATGAATTGGATCTCCATGCATTTTCTTTTGTTCACATAATAGCATTTTAGAAGGGACTAACACAAACATCTTTATTTAGACTACATTCATCATTATTTAAATATTGATACAGTTTTTGCAATAGTTACCAAGAGTTCCCAGTACCAGGGGAAAATAAAACATAGCCACATGCTTGGCTATGTTCAGTGCTTTAGCAAGCCTCTCATCTTTTAGCTGAGCATGCAGGGTGATAGTACATTGACTAAATACAAAATAAAGCACGTGTTAAAAAAGAAGTTTCTCTATGGGCCTGGAGAGCCACAACCTCCTCCTGCAATGCCAAAACCCTGGTGTGAGAGCTGCTGTATGGATTGGGATGCAGAGCACAGGATACACAGTGGCCAGAGCAGCAATACCTAATGAAAGAGGGACCAAGGCTGGGAGACAGTGAGACACCTGGTGCTGCAGCTCATGGCAGCAACCCTGCAGCTGCCTCCCATGCTTCCCACTGCAGGTCAGTGCCAAAGCCCACAGCAAAGGCCGTATCTCACCACAGCAATTAAAAAGTCAGCTGCCTTCTGGCAAAGCCCTGGAGAAGTAATGTGATAGACACATTCGTCCTACCATCTTCAGGAAAAGTGATCCATGCTACTACTGAAATACATAAATAACACCTTAAAAAAATCCAACATTTTCAAGTACTCCCAAGCAGGGCCTTTCCTCCTCAGATATGGTGGTTCTATTCCCTCACAAACTGCTTCTTACAAGCCAGGAGAGGCAAATCTGAAATGGCACTCCCAGAGTCAGGAATATACTCCTGTCTGGGAGAGAAGGAACAAGTTTCTGTTCTGCTCTGATGGACTATTTAACCTGGGTGTGTGAAGGTCAAAATTAATAACACAGGAAATAATGAACCTTCCTCAAAGTGACAGCTCTGCACAGCCCCAGAAAAGATCCTTCGCCAGCATAAACGGGGTGCTACAGAGGGAGCAGCAGCCAGAGGGAAGAGTGATGACTGAGGGAGGCTGAGCTTCCCTGCGACTATGGCTGTGATGATTGAGGGAGGCTGTCTGAAAAGTTTTGGTCTCCCTTCAAAAAAGAGTAGGAGCTCTTCCTGTGCCTGATTCTGCAATGCAGTACACCCTGAGCTCTGAGAAAAAACTCCGGAGAGCCTGGACATTTGGGAGTTATGAACAGCTAAGAACCAGAGCCAGCCCTTTTCACCTAAACCTTTGCAGATTAGAAAGGGGAGATCACAGTCCCCAGCATTCCTTCGGCTCCTTCTCTGCCCTGCACGTCGCTGGGTGTCACATGGCGATCTTGCCAGTCTGGTCCCTCAGTGAGCAGAGCCAGGGCTTGGCAGGCTCCCCAGCACCTTGCTGGGCTCACAGGGTTGGCAGAGCCCTGGCACACACAGTGACTGCCCCCAGCTCCTGCCAGATATAGACCGCAGCGCTCCTATACCAACCCATCAGAGGAGGGTTTGCTACACATACTGAACCTGGATTGGGTTACAAATGCTGGCTGCTGCATGACATGGGATACAACTGGAACATTAGACAGCTACTGGAGACAGCTCTGTTGCTTCATGCCAATGAATGCTTTTGCTGCCGTATGTTCTGCAAGAGCCCGGCCCGCCCCTGCCTTGCTGCAGGTTTAGGCGCACTGAGAGATGATGTTGGAGTTGCAGTCTAAGCTGTGAGTGTGGTTTCTTTTGCAGTTTTCAGGCCTACAGCCAGCACCAGGTGGGCTGACCAAGTCCAGGTAGTAAGGGGACTTGAGGAAGCGACGGTAAGAATCCTTTTCCATGAGGGTGAATATTTTTTTCTGAGCCTCATCAAAGCAGGACAGTGTAGGCTCCAGCATGTTGTGGCTCGTCTTCTCCCGTGTGCAAGAATCCAAATTCACCTGTGGACCAAAGGGACAGTGTAAGTAGAACCTGTCCCAGAGGGGGCATAGGAAAGGAAAAGCCTCTCTACCGTGCTTGCTGAGCAGTTGTCCGAAATGGCTGTTTGACACCCTGTAGCCCTGCAGAATCTGTGCAGCTGGATACCAATGCATTTCTGCTACCAGAAGAGCTGTCGGGGGAGACTGACACACATTCCTCTGGGATGCAGCTAGCCAGGAAACTCAAATCACATGGGAGCAGCTGAAACATTGGGAATCATGGTCCTCTTGAGCTTCTCCCATTGCAGTGTGTGCATGGAATGGCCACACGGTTGTAACTAAACACATTTTCTCTCTATCCAAGTTTAATATAAAATCAATAAAAAACCCACCACGTCCTTGCTAACTAGCAGAGAAGCAGAAGCCTTCATCTCTTGTGAAACTCTGATTGGCTGCGTTGCTGGTTCAGAATTTAGGGTAGTGCCCTTGCCCAAGGAATGTTCAGTGCACGTACCTCTTTTGTGGCCTGCACTGAGATGAACTCATCATAGATCTTCCTGGCCTTGGGGCTGAGCTTGGTTGGTGACTTGGTTTTCTTGTACTCCTCACAACTGACCCAGAACTCGATGTTTTCCTCACTGTACTCAGATTTGAGAAAAGCACGGAAAGCAGCCAGTCCTCCTACGGATTGTTCAGAGGAAAACCAGGTCAGGCAAGAGTGTTGGTCCCCAAACAGTCGCACCCCTGAACTCCAGCAACACAAACAGTGATTGTGGGTTCTCCTTCCCAGAGCTGAATGAGGAGCTGCCCTGGGGCTGGCACTGGGGACAGCTTGTGCATGTCAGGGAGGCTGGAATGCAGACAGGCCCCATGGGGATGTCACATGTGGGGTCCCAGCTGCCTGCTCCCCCACTGTGACCTTCAGTGTCCCTGCCAGGGGAAGACAAGCAACTCGTGTGTTCCCAGGAAGCCTCAAGGAGACAGCCAGCATGCTCCACAGAGTCTCAGACCATGGGAACAATGTGAAGGAAACCTCAAGGACATCCATGTAGCCCACAACTGATGGGAAGACAAAGTCTCCCATGGGTTCAGCAGCAAATAATAGCTCCACCTTTTGGTTCTTGTTTAACCCACCACTAACTGTGTGTCCCAGTCTTGCCCTCCTCTTGCACAAGGGCTAAACCAGTTGCTTTCACAAAACAGACAGCTCAGCAGTATGCCAAAACCACACTCATGATGCATTGGGATTGGCCCTTGCCTTGGATCTGAGCAAGAGGCCCCTTTCCCACCCCTCTCAGAGGTCTGTGTGGCCAAAGGAGCTCCTGTGTGCCCCTAGGAGACAATAAGATCGTATCCTGTGTCCCCTCCCAGGACTGCTCAGAGCACAGCTCTTATGCTCTGCCAGCAGCATAAGAGCCCTCTTCACTTACTGTCATGATGGATCAAATTTTCCAAAGAGTCTGCCCATTTTCTGACTTCCTCTTGGCTAAGCCTAAGAAGAGACAAAGGGAGAAACACAGGGCTGAATTAAAGAGGGTACAGAAAGGACAAATTTGGTTTGTTTCTCAGCACCACTAGAAAAATCTTTTCCCCTGATTGTTCTAAGAGAATACACAAGAGACTGAGAATGAAATATCAGCTTGTTTTACAGATAACCCCAGGGATCCCAGATGTAACCTACAGAAATTTTGGTTTGCAATCCTCATCACCAGCCATGGACAAGAAATTAATTTTCCTGGAAAAAAATGCTGTGGAATTAATATTTATTTTGTGCCTGGCTGTATCTCTTGATGGGGCACAGACCTGGAATCAGTCTTACAGGGCATATCAGTGAACTCCAAAGGGCTTGCTCCTTTAACCAGTCAGAGGAACAGTAGCTTTTTGGAAGAGAAGAGTAGTTTGGGAACTAGAAACACATGGGGAGCACATCCTGCATTCATTCTCTCTACCATACTAGAACACCCTAGTGCTCCTCTGTTTCAGTAGCAAACCTTGGCTTCTGGAGCCCTCTTTGGAGAGAACATTGTCTCCTTGCAGACTGGGGAGAGCAGTGATGCCCCGACAGGCTGCTGGCTGGTTTGTGTGACTACACCTCTATGCAGCTGTGTGGACCATTGCACAGATCCAGCCCAAAGAGGCACAGGATGCTGATTCTGCAATGTGTCCAGTTGCACTGGGTCTGAAATGGTCATTCCCCTATGCAGGACACTGTACACACCCTTCCCTGTGCTCATTCATATCCTATCACGGAAGTGGTGACAGAAGGGACACCTAATTCAGGATTCTTCATGGAAATTGAAGTCCTCAGGTGTTGATAGTCAGCTGGCAGGATTATCAGCACCTGAGAGCTATTACCACACTACATCCAAGCACAGGTGTTCCGGAAGAACTGGGAAGCAGCAGCAGAACCACTACTGGAGTCCAGCTTGGTGAAGGAATAAACAACATGCTGCAGCCAGTCTGGGATTAACTAGGTGACAGCATCTGCTCTTACCTCTGGCTTGAAGATAACTTTTCCTTCTTGCCCTGGGAAGAGCTGTAGTCACAGGAATCTGACTTCTGCAGCAAGAAGCCCAAACGGTGCTTCATGTCTTTGGCACTGAAAGAAAAAAATCAAGGAGAAGATGAAGACAATGCTTTGCACTCCCTCTGCAGCTTCCTCTCTGCACAGGCTCCTCAAGCATTACTCAGTGACACAAATGCAGGTCACTGACAGGGACTCCAGTGCTGATTTTCCACTCATCACATAATACACATTTTTTTGTTCTAGACAAATTCAACAATGCCAGAGAAGTCATTTTTTATGTTCAACAGCATCTTGCTGAGAAGGTCATCAGCCTGGAAGCAGATGGCAAAGGGGGAGAAGCTGTTGTTTTCCTGCTATTTACAGTAAAAATATTGTGATAGAAAAGCATCACCATACTGTGTGTGTCACCTCTCCTTGAGCTGATTTGCCCAGCTGCCAATGTGTTGTTCTTACACCCTTACAAATCCCTTCCTGCAGCCCCTGCCATTTCCCCACCTACTCAGCCAGCCACAGGAACAGCAGGGCTATACCAGGCCACCCCACCAAGCCCAGGACACAGAGGGAAGGAAGAAAGTCAATGGCTTGGAGCAAGACTGTGGGGTGAGGTCAGGGATGAGCCAAGAGCTCCACCACAACCAGCCCATACTGGCTGCAAGCTACTCCCTCACTCCACAGCAAGCTCCTCTGAAGATTCATCCTTAATTCTGTTCCACTCTCCAGTGTGCTCCTCAGGACAATAATTTCTTCATAGCAGCTTCTAGATATGCAGCTGATAGTGGCCTTGGCATCTCTCTGGGTTTCCTTCCAGTTTAAGAATGAGGGGCAGGTAAACCATGCCTGCTTGCTCAGGGGCGCAAGCCCTGGCTGGCCCCAAGGTACAGCGATAGTGTAAGGTAGGAAATTCTTCTCCTTCTCCTCAGATCTGAGCCTGGAAAAGAGCAAGAGGCTGTGCCACAGGACTGAGCTCTGGTAGCTGCTCAGCCCCCCAGCACTGCTCTCTGCTCCAGCACCCTGTCACAGGTCCTGGCCATAGCTGATCTCATTGCTTGCCTCAGAAATGTTTCCTTAACAACTCCGGCACGTGGGGAGAGCATAGGGAGTTCACATCTGCTTTAGAGCAGGGTTCCAGTGGCCAACACAAATACCCAGGCTCTGCCCAGGCACCCATGGGGACTCTGCACTTCCAGGCTTGAGCTGCCTGGTGCTGTCTTGGTCCTTGCCCAGGACAAGGAGACTGCTCAAGTCTGCAGGAGGGTGGCAGCAGGAGGAAACAAGACACTGCTGCTTCCAGCTAGTCCCACAGCTTTCTGGAAGAGAGAGATTTTGCTGGTAATCCTGGACAGAGGTGTCCACATGATGTGAACTATTTTTCATTTTTTTTTAAATCCTCATCAAATGTTCCTGCAAATTAGAACTGTCAACACTTTTCTCCTGCATTTTCAGCACCTGTTTTCAAATCCAACCATGAGCAGGAAGCTTTATCCTCAGATGGGAGACAGCTGAGTCTCTGCTGCATTTTCCCAACCCACTGCACAGCTGCTGGGAAGCAGCTTCAGGAGTGCTGCATGTGTGGGCAGAAAGGCAGTGCTGCACCATCAGAGACCCACACGAGTTTAGATGGGCTGGATGAGAAGGGAGCATTGTGCCTCCCTCCTGGGCATCTCCAGGCTCCAGAGCACCCAAAAGGGAGTAACATCCCTCCAGGAGGGCTCATGCCAGCCTAGAGACCCCTCATGCTGGGCTATGGGGCAGGCCATGCTGCGGAGGGCACATTTGCGGTTGTGCAGGCTCTGCTCTGCTGATCCCACGCACTGGGGTGCAGCCAGGTGCTGCAGTTCAGCCCACCCTGATTGGCACCACACGGCAGGGGTGTGATGAGCCCCACACCAGCCCCGCAGTGCTGTGCATGGAGGAGTACAGCCTAACCTGGCCCCTAACCATCACCCGGGGAACTCAGGCTGATCCCACACCAGCTGGTGCCGCATCCACATCCACCGTGCCCCACATCCCTGCCTGCTGGCACACGGGTCTCTAGTCCTGCCAGGCTGCATTTCTGCATTTGAAGTGCATTTCAGGGAATATTACTTAATTTTTAAACTGTCTGCCTTGCTTCCCCCTAAAAAGAATCAAGAAAATTTAGCAGAGAGGAGCCAAAGGAGAAAAGGGGTGCAAAGACTGCAGCAGAAGCAGCTAACAGGAATATCAAAATATCACAATGCTAAAAGCTGCTGGTTTTGATGATGGGGATGATGGGAAGGAAGTCATTGAACTTTCCCCAGCTCCCTACAAAACCTTTCTGCAATTCTGTTTCTAGCCTCTAAGCAATCATTTGTATCTAATCTTGCAAAATAATCAGAGCCAAACCTGCCTCGGACACAAAGCGCAATGCATCAGCGTGTCTCCGGGCTAACAAGACCATTGCCAGATGCTCAGAAATAAACAGTACCTTTTTAAGCAAGTGGCTGGCAGTGCAGCGAGTCCCTTGCACATCTTGCTCCCGAGGTCGGATCAGTATTCCAGGAAAAACAAGGCAGGAGGCGGCAGAGGCTGCGCACGGGTCCTGCGCCGCCTGCGGGGCTCAGCCCGGTGCGCGAGGCAGCGGCGCTGCCCTGGCTCTGTTTTATAGCCTAGCCCAGACAGCCCAGCAGCGCTGGGTGACCCAGTCAGGAGTCAGCACAGCAGCAGCACCCGTCCCCTTTTTGCCCACCCAAGAGGAAGAGGGTGACGTATAAAACCCAGACAAAGGGGTGAGAGAGATTGAAAACCTTACCAGAAACGAAGCTCGGTGTCTGGCTGCAGAGGTGGAATCTTTGAAAAGGGCTCAAAAAGCTTCCGGTACTTCCTCAACTGCAGGAGGTTGGAATGGTGCAGATGAAAAGCAGATTTTCAGGGGGGGGACACAGTAAAAAAGGTCAGAGAATCAATTCTGAGAAGTGAGACGATCTTTGCTGGCTCCTCTCTTAATTTCTTTTCTATTTAAAGTAACCTGGATCAAGAAAGGGACAAGAATTTTAAACAGAAAAGGTTACCATAATCCAAACAAATGCAGGAAATAGAGCTCTGCTCTCAAGGAAAGAAGAAGGTAAATTCACCAGGGAACTACCTAGGCAGATGAGACTCTCCTGTTTTATTCCAGAGTCATGTGAATCTATATTTTTGGTGAGGCAGCAACAAAAGCCCGGAGGGGGTGCAAGGCATTACTGGAATATACAATGTGCATGTATCAGCACATAAATTTGAGGACAGCTCATGTACATGCGTGGAAAAAAGGAATTTAGGAGGTTGGCAGCACATATGCGTTAGATATGGGTATCACTGCAACACCTTCTCCATTTGCATTTGCAAAATCAAAAGCCAGACCGTGGGACTCTGGTATCACCAAGGAAAGATCGTTAATTATAATAAAAGGCTTAACTGTGCCTGCCCAGAGCAGTCTTTGAAGCAGTTCTGAGGGTGCTTTATGCTAAAGAATGAACCCATGAGACACCTGTGGGGGTGCTTGCACTGCCCTGGCTCTGCTGTAGTTCCAAGAACAGAATGACTTCAGCTACCTGTCCTCAGTCCTTGGATGGTGCAGAAGGCAGCTGCCCTTCTAGGGAGAGAGAGAATTGGCTGATATTTATCGAGTTGCAGCTCAGCACAGCCTGTACCATTCTTATCAAAGAGGGGAAGGCTTTGGGCAGATGGAGGTGCATATGGGCTGCTGCATTTTAAGTCCTGCTCCCACTGTGAAATAAAGGAGCTTGATTAGCAGCAGGCTGCCTGCCCACACTATCCACTGCTGCATCCCCTCTCCCAGAAACCTTTTAGTGTTTTGCTCACGATCTGCAGAAGTTGCAGATGAGCCTTTCTGTTCTGTGTCTCTAGAGTCTACAGCCAGCAGCAGAGTCCAAATCCCCAAAGAGTTTACCTGCCTTGGCATACTGCATTACTCAGATCGTTAATTGTGCTGAAAGGCAATGCTCTAATTAACTGTAAAATGCTTTTGTAGGAGCACTACTGTCCTGCTGCCAAACCTGAGCCTGGGAGTCCTGCACTGTGTGAACTAAAAATCAGCTCCAGCTCAGGGCAGTGTAAAACTTCACCTGAGTGAATGCCCTCATCTTTTTAGTGTTGGTGAGTTGACCATGCTTGGGTGGATCTGTAGGAAGCAACTGAGCACTGGCAGAGCTGGTGCCTAAGCTCTGTGGTGTCTTGTCTCTGGGGCGAAGTTGAAGGGAAGAATATGGCCAACAGAAAAAACTTAACTAATTATATACTAAATATCTATTTAATTTAATTTGACTATCAAACTTGTGCAATGTTACTGACATTCAAACAATTCAAGAGCTCATCTGGCTGACACAATCAAGGTGTTTGCAAGCAACCTTTCCCTTCTCTCTGACAAGGTTAGAGCTCTGGCTCAAGCGGGTCCCAAAGGCTGCTTGCTAGGGCAAGGAACTTCTGTGCAGAACACAAAAATTCTGCAGTTTGTCTGCAAAATCTTGTATAACCAGATTTAGGAATGTCACACTGTGGATTGCAAGCATGTTTGCTGTATGGCTGTAATGACACCCAGATGCTGGTGTTGTTGACATCAGGTCACCTTCTGCATTCCCCAACTTCTGTGTGAGCAGACTGTAATCAGGAATTTCTGGCACTGCCATCACAATAGCCAGCCTAAAGGGCTTTAAAATTAGGACCATCCACCTTGGACTGGGCATGGAGAATCCTAGGAATGCTGCAGTTGAAATTTCCCTTTTTCCAGTTCATTAACACTGACTGGCTCAGCCTGGCCCCCATGAGAGGAGTTTGGGCTTGTGCACTGTTTCCCAGCTCTTGCAGTTTAATATCCTCTCAGCTACCCCAGCTGGTCTCCAGTCTAAAGTATTCCCTTCCATCTCCCACCATCACAGGCAGGCCTCTTCTCCCAGGGTACAGACTGTGCTGTGCTCAACACCAAACTCTCCTCCTCCTCCTCCTCCTTCTCACTGCCAGCTAGTGAAGCAGAAGCTCATGCCTGGCACATCATCCCTGGCTTGCTTCACCTGCTCATGGAGAACTCAGCGTTGAGGATCAGCTTGGGTGCAGGGCTGGGGCGGGGAGCTGGGCTATCCCTGGGCCATGCAGTGTTTTAGAGGCACCCAGGGGCTCTCAGGAGCAAGCACAATTGCAATCGTCTGTGGTACCCTGTGGCATCCCCCACCTTCTCCTCCCCCTTCATCCCTGGTGCATCTCGAGCAGCTGGGGACGAGGCTCTGAATGGGAGTTTTCCCTCCCCCCACTGCCAGGGAAGAACGTCACACATGTGTGCTCACCCCCGTACACGAGTGCATTTGGGATGTGTCCCTCAGCTCCCACAGCCAGAGGCAGCCTGTGGGAGGAGGCAGGGAGCAAGAGGAGCGTCGCTGCTTTCGTGGTCATTGCCCGGAGCTGAGGGGCCACAGGCTGTTGCCCTCCACCCCAGTCCCTTCCCATCCCGGAGCATCTGCTGTGTGATGGGAGCGCACCAGGGAGATGCTGCTGCTTTCTGTCACTGGGAACTGGGAGGACGTGACATGGGGCTGTGAGGATGTGCTGCTGGGCCCGGGGCCTCTCCTGCCACAGCTGCCTTCCCCAGCCTGCCTTACAGGGGCTGAGAGCCACTCCTGCTCCTTTGCCATTACTCACATCTCACAGAGCCAGCCAGACACCTTGGGAAGGGGTGAGCAAATGCTCAGATGTGCACAGTGAACAGATGGGCAGGGCACTACATATCTCTCCCATGGCCATCCACATCCAGTACATGCCTGGCAGACAGTATTGGTGAGGAATTGGAGCAGTTCCCACACAGCTGAGAAACATCACTGGTCGCCAAGCCCCTCAGGCTGCAGAAGCCCTCCACATGTAGCCACTTTGGTGACATTTCCACCCAGGCAAGTGGCCCCAGTGCTGAGCCCTGCTATGGGGAGGGGACCTGTACACCTGCTAGCAGCTAAGATTTCCTTCCAGCATTGACAGGTGCACCTTACCCATGCAGGCATGTGGCTTGAGCAAATTACAGCTAATGAACTGTGAGCAGAGAACCCTGGAAGGACCATTGGGGTCTGAGCCTGGATGGATGAACTCAGCCCGTGTCTGAGCCTGACACTGCATGCAGCCATATTTCCTGTTCCCAGGGCACTGACTGCAGCCTGACCTCCCTAAGAGACACACAGAGAGGCCACGCTCATCCCCACAGGGTCCCCCGTCCAGCGCTGGGATTCCCAGAACAGTGTCCCACAGCAGAGCCTGAGGGAATTGTCCTTTCCCATGCCTCTGCAATGCACTGTGTGACTCCATGCATGACCATGGCCTGGCTCTCATGGCCAGCCCCTGAAGGCAGCCTGAGGAGTGTCCATCTCCTCCCAGATCAGCCCTGGCAGGAGCAATGAGTCACCCTTCTTCAATTGGGGTCATTTGCCGCTCACATGGAAAATTTCTGGAGTGCATGGATGTACCTCCAGGCTGACCCACTCCCCTTTCTGCCCTGCATGCTGGAGGCAAAATGGAACTCTTAAAGGGAAAGCAGCTTTAGTTTGCTGTCATAGTTTCTTGATGAGCCTGCTCTTCTCTGAAATGATGCTCTGTAGACTTTAGCACGTTTGTTTGGAACCTCCCTTAGCTCCAGCTTCACACAGTTCATACAACCAAATATGCAATCCAGACAATTTCCACATGCTCTCAGTTGTTTCTTACTTATATGTGCACCTAAAACAGCATCAGTGGCCTTTTGTTGTTTCTAAGGGCTTGGAATTTCCTAATCATTCTGAGGGAGTGGTGGGAGTCATATTTTTCTTTGCTTCAACCCCAAAGTTTTGGGCTGCCTACTTGTCCTGTTAGTACCCAGAAAAAAATATTTCAACTTGTGTCAAAGGAAGAATTTTGTTCAGCCCAAATGGATGGGTTTTTCCCCTCTCCTGGTTTGGATTTGCTAATTAAATTAGTGGGTTTTTTTTGTATGGTGGCTTTTCTGTGGGCCTTTTTTGTTCATTTTTTGATTGATTGGTTGGGTTTTTTTGTTTTGGTTTCATTCTTCTTTTGTCTAGCTATTGTTCTTTCCTCATGGCCATCAGACCACAGGAAAATCTGTTATTTGAGTAACTTGCCTTCTAATTTCCTAATTCCTCTGTCTCCTCATCCATTTTGATTAACAGCCCCTTAAACATTTCCTGGTAATCACTAAGACAGTTTGAATAATACTGCACCACAAACCAGTCAACATATGGCTGTTCACTGATGCTTTCTCATACAAAAAATCACTTTGAAATGTCTCATTTAACCACTTGTAATGCATTTAATATGGATTTTATGACACTTTAAGCCAAATATTGATAGCACGTCATATTCACTTATGAATCTATTTCACCATAATAACTGCCTCATGAAAAAACTATTAAACCCATTAGAAAAGGTCTATTTTTCTATTAGATTATGTCAGCTGGGGTATCAATGACATCACCACCTTTTCCAGTGTGCCCCCATTGTCCGTACTAATAGTGCTTCTGAGCTCATCAACGGGTTAACAGCTATGTGACTGAACAGCCCATCCCTTCCTAGCGAACCACTTTAATAGTGAGGACTAATCATGAAGAATTGTTAAGGCTGGAAAAGATCTCCAAGATCAGCAAGTCCAACCTTTCACCAAGCACCTCCATCCCAACTAAACCATATCACTGAGTGCCACGTCCGGTGACGGTGACTTCACCACTTCCCTAGGCAGCTCATTTTGATCCTTAACCACCCTTTCAACGAAGAAATTCTCCCTGATGTCCACACTGAACCTCCCCTGGTGGACCTTGAGTCCATTTCCTCTTATGCTGTCACCAGTTGCCTGGGAGAAGAAACCAAACCCCACCTGGCTCCAATCTCCTTTCAGGCAGTTGTAGCGAGTGATAAGGTCACCCCTGAGCCTCCTTTTCTCTAGGCTAAACACCCACAGCTCCCTCAGCTGCTCCTCACAGGACTTGTGCTCTCCAGAGCCTTCGGCACCTTCACTGTCCTTCTCTGGACCTATTCTAGCACCTCAGTGTCTTTCTTGTAGGGCGGGGCCCAGAGCCGCAAACAGCACTTGAGGTGCGGCCTCACCAGTGCCCACTACAGGGGGAACAATCCCTTCCCTGGTCCTCCTGCCGCACTATTCTTGATCCAGGCCAGGATGCCTTTGGCCTTCTTGCCCACCTGGGCCCAGATGGCTCATGTTCACCCACTCTTGACCAGCACATCCAGGCCTTTTTCTGCTGGGCAGCTTCCCAGACACTGTGCCCCATCCTGGAGCATTTCATGGGATTACTGTGACCCAAAGGCAGGACCTAGCACCTGGACTTGTTGAGCCTCATACAGTTGGTCTTAGCTCATGGATGCAGCC